GGAGTGTTATAGGGGTTGCTAAGGGGGATACTAGAGGTTTAGACCCTAAACCTTAAATCCTAGACTCTAAACTTGTGCGCCCTAGGGGTTACCAATGGGGATACTAGGAGTCTAGACTACAGCTCATATGGGCTTGTGTCTGCCTGGTCCTCTGGTGCTGTTGCATGTTCTCTGCTCTTGCTCCCAAAGCCCTATGCCCTAGGGTTTACCTAAACCCCCAAAGTATGTAAAATAATGTCCCTAAACCCATAATAATAGCCATAAAGGCCATCATTTTACATACTTTTGGGGTCCAGGTAGGGTTCAGGGTTTAGGGTGTGTCACGCGCATGTTTTTAGGGCCAGCGGCCCCGCAGTTTCTTTCATGGTTCACTCGGATTGCGACTCCTGAAATCCGTGCACTCTTTGCAATTGCTTAGGGTCTAGGGACTAGGGTGAGGCACCACAGTACCTGATCTTTTTGATCCTTAGTTGCTCTCATCCTCATGAACGTTGCGCAGATAGCGACGGGAATGCAGTTTCCCTAATCCCTAAAATTACTACTCAGCCCCAGCTTCCATTTTGTTATCCATGTTCTTTTCCTCCATGTGATTCTCAAATGCCGGGGCCAACATCCCTAAACCCTGAACCCTAATAATCGATGAATTTTTTTTGGTGGGGAACGAATCCAGCAAAGCAAGCAAACACATGGTCTGGTTCTGACCTGCTGTCATCGCTGTCAAAGGATTTATATGGTTCAGGGTTTAGCCACCCAACCACGCCTGGATTTTTGTACTAGTAGCAACCTATAATCCCTCTCAAGTACATATTATAATCAGATCCCCATATACCCCATATTCTATCCACTTAAGGGAGACTATAGGGCCTAGCAACCCCTACAACATTCTCTTGATAGGCGTACAGGCATCTTGTGAATCTTTGTGTGCTCTCATCGTCAAAAAAATCCTTTGCAAGTGGCATAGGGTAAATGGTAGTTCCCCCCAAACGGTACCCCTAATTCTGGCAACCCCCACATCATTAATACACACAGCGGACCGTAAACCAGCCTAATCACTCAGGCCTAAACCTGGAACCTTGAACAGTGAAACATGAAGGCCCCAGACCCTTGACTACCCAAAACTAAAACCCGTGAAACCTTGGGGCAGTGGGCAAAGCTTAAAACCGAACTCCTCAACCATGAAACACCAAGCCCCTACTTAGAGCTTCAGGGTATCCAAAGGCTAATCATTCTTGGCATTAATTGGGTCACAAGAACTATTTATAATTCCGCTGTAATCGACCCTCCTCCTGTTGTCTGCAGGTGGACCAGAGGACTTTTCCTGCAAAGGTGCGGAACTGCTCTGGAGTTATCAAGCTCAGTTAAGAACACGGCAACCGTATTATGGATAGCTGAAATTTTCCACGTTCTAACCCTTAAGGCACGGTCTTAGCATAAAATCCTCCAAACCTTTTCTACTCAAATCTTTGCCCACTGCTTCCTGATGCCAACAAAAACCTCTTCACACTCCCCGGCCCCTGCAATGACACGTTGGGAAGAAACACAAGGGCTATCATGCAACATTTGCGGCACAAGCCCTAAGCCCTGAACTCTGCACCCTTGATGATGATCCTTCTCGTGGTCAACGTGAATAACGGCGGAGTCTACCTTATATGAGGTAGTCTGTTTTATTCAATTGCTTGTGTGAGTGTATCTGGGGTTCCCTAGGCACATTCGTGAGTGTATAGACTTTGTGCCTAATTGCGGGACCCTGAATTAAGATCTTACCTCATACCCCAAGCCCTAAGCCCCTAAACTCTAAAGCCTACTAAGTCATCAAGCCGCCAAGGGAGATGTCTCATGGACCAAGGCCCCATCCTAGTTCCAGTGCAGAGTTTTCCGTTATCGCTCAGAAAAACCAAACCCCCAAAAACTTAAATCCCAAACGCGTAAACCCTAAACCCCTAAACCCCTAAACCTAAAACCTTTAGCCATGGATCTACGGTCTGGCAAAGGCGTTATGACTTGACCGATTTTGTTGTGGGATCTGAGGGGCCTAAAACCTGATTACCTTGAAAATCCAAGTATTGGTGAAGCCAACTGTGGGATGTACTGTAGTGGATGAAATATGGGTCTAGAGGATATGTGTTTAAGGAATACTTACCAGTTTTACGGTCTCGGATTTCCTAGAACATGGAACAGCCTACTTAAACACTACACCTTAAGCCCTAAATAGTAGCTTCCATTTTCTTTCCATTATCCCAATATATCCCCTATATACCCCCTTTAAGGAAGAGGGTAGCCCAAATAAACCTGAACATAACATTGTGGGTTTTAGGTTCTAGGGTACTTATACTTACTTGACCCCTACAGCACTACAAGCCCTAAACCAGTTGTTAAGTTATCCCAGTGCACGGGTGCCTTGCTTGATGCATGAAAATGGCCGTCGCCACTCAGAAGCCTTGCTGCAATGACCTTCGGAATGCGCCATCGCTGTTCGAGCTCCAGGGCCCCAAAGGTAAAAGCCCTGAAATATTAGGGTTTAGGGTTTAGGGTTCAGGGTTTAGGGAAATATAGCAACCCTAAACCCTAAACCCGGTGGCCCCGCAGCTTTGGTGTATTTTTGGCGAAGCCTCAGACGCAACGCTTCCACAAAAGGGCCTATAGGGGTTCATGTTTAGGAGTTTTCCGTGCTTCTAGTCTAGTGCTATGTAGTAGTTTCCCTAAATAGGGGGTCCCCAATATAGACCCCAAAATATTATAGTCCTGATTATAGGGACCCCCAAAAAGGGACCCCTAATATTGGGAAACTCCCATTTGTACGAGGTTTAGGGTGTAAGGTATATAGACTCCTCATATTCAGGCTCATAGAGCCCTCCTTTCTTGATTTGGTAGCCTTTACCGGTATTCGCAAACCCTAAACCCTAAACCCTCCCAAGCTTGGAGATTAATACTTCCAGCACTGTAGCAGCCATCCCTCCTGCATCACATTACGTTACGTGTTTAGGGTTTAGGGTGTATGAATCTCTAATAGTCTAAGCCCGGAGTTGTTGGTGATTTGGCAGGATTTTGTTGCAAAGAGCTATAGTGGATCTAACTAGAACCTATTGAAAGACTAGTTAAAAGCCAAGTAAAGCTAAGTGAAAATTGATTCACATCTAGTTAGCATCGAGTTAACATCTATTGAGAATTTGGAGAATAACAAGCGAAATCTCACTAAGATATTTCCAGAATATTCCCCATCAACTAAAGTCTAATTAAGATTAAGGTAAATCGCTTTGGAAGCATAGTAAGGCTACATTGAATTCAATTGGATCAAGAAAGCCCGTGTAAGTTCAATTAACATCGCTTTTGAATTAAAACATCCTGTCTGAGAGCTGTAATAAGAAGACCGTAAAATCCACGAACATCAAGGGAATCCACAGTTCCTTTGGATTCCTCATTCTTTAGCCCCCCTATGACCTCAGAACCCCCCCAATTAATGATTATCAGCCCTTTGAAAAAATAGTCTTCAGGGGATGTTTGGAGTTGGGGGATCCCCTGGGAGGAATATGCATTTCTGGGATATTTGGAGAACGGATTAGCTTGCGTCCATGTCATGTGTAGTTGCAGAACCCACACCGAATTATATCCGAATATCCTACCCTACAACAGCTCTGGAGCTCTACATGCCCTGAGCCCTAAACCCTCAGCCCTCAACCCCCAGCCCTAAGCCCTAGACCCTAAACCCTAAGCCCTAAACTGAAACCTGTCAGCAGTCTGGCCGGCGTCTGTCAGCAGTGGCTACTTTGGTGACCTGGGTGGCTTCTATCTTTTGAGCCATCGTCTTGACTCCTGTGACGGGCCTGTCAGGGGATAGTAAAGAACTAAACCCGAAACCCTAAAACCTAAACCCTTAAGCCTAAAATACCCTGAAACCTAAACCCTATAAACCCTTAACCCTAAAACCCTAAACCCTAAACCCTTAACCCTAAAACCCTAAAACCCTACAACCCTAAAACCCTAAAACCTAAACCCTAAGGTTTTCATGAGGAGTCTGGGCTGCAGCTCTCTGCGCCATGGCCCTCCGATGACACAAGTCTTAGGCCACAGTGACTAGTCGTCCTTACTGAAGGGTTTTTTAGGGTTTAGGGTTTAGGGTCGGTATGG